CGTGAGCAAGGAATTTCCGAATCTTGGGATCTCTTTAAGGCTCTGGATTTGTAAAGATATCTCTTGGATTCCAAGAATTTTTCCGATTTACAATTGAATATTTTACATTTTCTTCGTTTTATTTAATTTCAAATAATTATGAATAATTTAAGAATACCAAATTGGTTGCGTTTCCTAAAAATTTTAGATTCATTATTTTTTACTATTTCTTTTTATCATTTTAGATCCGACATTTCTACACATTTATGGATTTCTAGATAAATTCTAAATCTCAAAGTTTTTAATAGAATTCTTATATAGCAGATAGTATGTTATTTTTATATTTCTAAACAGATCTATAATTTCCTTGTAGGTCTATTTCTAACAACTTTCAAAATTCTTGAAATTTCCAGATATTTGAAACCTTAAAATCTTGAACCACGTTACAAAATATCAATATTTCAGATTTTAAGATTAAAATTTATAAGTGACCTATATCAAAATTTTTAGGTACTGGTATTTTTTCTTCTTATATGTATATGGACTTCATCATGTTAGATTCATAATATCAAATTTTAAAGAAAAACTGGAAAATGTTTCACATCCAAACTGCTTTGCTAAAGTTTATAAAATATTACATAATTCGATTTGATCAATCTTCTTTCTATAATGATCTAAAAAAACCCAATAATTATGCTTTTAAATTCTTGGATTCTCAAATTTTCGGTGTCTGATATCCTGAGATTCTTAAATCCTTGATCCTGTAGACCCTTAGAGGTCCTAATACATAGACTTGTGTATTATTAATTGTGAATGAATACTGATATTAAGTAAATTCCTCCAGAAAAACTCTTCATTGCTTCTTATCAAACTTTAGCAAAATAACTAATCATCATCCTATATATATATACGCATACGCATATGTAAAATAAAAGAAATACTATTCTTCTGATCTAAACTTCTAAACTTTGTTCGAAAACGTGCTAATTAGTAAAAAAAAAAAAAAAAACAAGAAAAAAAGAACGCCACTGGATTACTAAATGACTGTTAATTATAGTCACGCTAGAAAAATAATGTAGCGAATATTAAGATGCAACAATGGCTAAAAGATGAGACTTTGTATTCTAATTGCATTGTTTGCACAAGCCCTAAAATTGTGTATGTATGTATATATATACGTATATAATCAATGAAATAATTATTATGTCCTCATATACATGTATAAAATAATTTTACGTTTTCTTCAAGATTTGTCTCTCAATAAATCATGGATATATGTATATGTTGTAAAGTTTTCTAATTACATCCTAGTAATGTGAGCAAGATCATGTAAACTAATTACCCATTATAAAATATAATTTTATAAAAATAAATAAATGATATTATTTAAAACAAACTAATCCATGTGTATATGAAAGTTATAAATATGTAAATCACAATTAACGTATTGACATAAATATAATATGTAATCTATGAAGAAAACTAAAACGTCCGTACTATTTAATGATGCATAAACCTGATTAAAGATTCTGTGAGAAATAACTCGGCATTCCCGGAATTTCGCGATCGCCGTAATTTCAAATGAACGGTTTTGAAGTAGCGAATCGATATTATACTAAAATAATTATAGTTTTGCTTACCAGCGAGAAGGGTCAGCGATATGCGCGCATGCTATTTTCTTAATATCTCCTTCCACTGCCGCCTCCTCCACCACCACCGCCACCACCCATGTTTCCACCTCCGAGAGAATTACCACCGTAACCACCTTGGTTTCCGTATCCGCCACCGCCACCGGAATTTCCGCCACCCATAGGCCCTGCAACATCGCAAGAAAAAAAACTACAGGTTAACAAAAACAATTATTTCTAAATTGCATAATGTGGTAATATTGTGCAAGGTATATAAAAGTACATTCCACATCGATAGATACAAAATGTACTACTCATTCGCAAAAAAAATTACACAACTTTGATAAAATTTTGTTAAATCATTACTTGTCACTAGATCGAGACAAAGAATTTTAATGTTTTAAATTTCAATAATTATGTAGATGATAGAGTTCAACAGAAAAAGAGATCAAGAAGGATCGTCATGTCGTTGATTTTTAAAAAGGAAAAGAACCTTGTCCGCTGAAGGGTGGTAACCATCTTGAGTCTCCGGACTGACGTCCGCTAGGACCCGAATTAATACCGTATGGCGCTGCTCTACCACCGGAATTGAAATTGTTGCGCACTGGACCACCCCCGTAACCCTGTTGATAACCACCACCGAAGTTGTCATTGCTCCAATTACCGCCGCTGTTGTAGCCACCCTGCCCGCTTTGGTTCCAGCCTCCTCCTCCTTTAAAACGCAACAATCAGCATCTTCTTTCAATACCTTTATCGCTCGAAATAATGAAATAATGTTATGCTCCTATTCCATCGACTTAGAGACAGTATCATCTTTTGTCTTTTTATTGCCTCTCGTGTAATAAGATCTTAATCAACAAGTACTTTGTAAAATTGTACCAGATTAATATAGAATTAAAGGCTAATTGTATTTTACTCTTTCTTGTGTTAATATTGGTTCATGTTCTATGAAACTTTGCTTACTCTAATAATTTTTATAAATAAGCCGTTGAAAATACAAATAGACCAAGCCACAGTTTCAAGTGAAAGAATGTAATGCATTAGAATAAAAATTGTAATGTGAAATAATAGTGACCGTAGAAAATTCTTATGTATTCTTTTAACGTATATAGTAGTAAATCTATTTGAATTGGAAAGTAAGAGTGTTTAAACAACTCTTTGAGTATTCAGTTCAAACATTTCCACACTTGGTCTGTATGTATTTACATCGCATCATACATCATTATTCTTTACAGATGCAAAGTCTTTGCACTGTAATTTGACCCTCGCATGACATCTCGACGAATTGTTAATGTTATTTAAAGCGTGTTGTATAAGAAAAAAAAACAGAAAGATATACATTTCACAATATTAGATCTGCTTGAGAAATTAATTTCAATAATTTCAATAAATTAAGAAAACTTTTTTAAGTCCACTCGCAGTTTTTTTTTTTTTCAGTACGTCGCGCGTCGTAGCCGATTTTTCAAATACGATGTTGTTAAAGAGCGACATTATCAATACGAGAATCAACTCGACTCTAAGAGGAATAAAGAGAGTAAAAGGAAAAGCTTGTCTGCAAACCTTTACCTTGATTCTGATTCTCCCAAGGTCCATTACCTCCCCAACCTCCTTGATTACCTCCACCGTATCCACCCTGATTACCGCCGTTGTTCCAGTCACTGCTGCCGCCACCGCTACCGCGTCCTCCCCAGCTACCGCCGCCCTGATTACCACCACGGGGTCCCCTGCCTACGCCTTGGCCACCGCGGCTGCCACCACCACTGCCGCCACCGCCTCCAGAAGCGGACGCCATTTCAGCTCTGCTTAAAGCCTGCAATAAGAATCATATTAATAAAAATACGAATCATTCATGTATTCAATTTAGTTTGATCTGCAGAAAATAAAGGAAAAAAATTGTAGCAAAATATTCTTATATGAAAACATATTAAGACAAAACATCTCAGGTATGAAAAACTACATGAAATATTTATTTTTCGATAATCTTAGTTAAATATATTTATATATAAAATGATGAGTTATGTGTATTGATGAAAGTGATCGGATAAAGAATAATACATAAATCTATACAAAAATGTAAGTACATATTTCTCCCATATTATTGAAATAAAAAATATTTTCCATTTCTAACAAAATTGATTTTTCGGTCAATGTTGATTGGACAATTTTTATTCAGTTAAATATCCCTTAAATCTTGAATATTTTATTAATATTTTATATAATGTGAAGACAAGACACATTTTTAAAATTTTATTTTAAAAAAACATGGAAAAAATTAGAAACACTGGAAAGAATAAAAAATTAACTCATCTTTTATGAACTTTTTCTCATGGATCTGTATCGTATTCTTCTTAAACAATAAATACATTTTGAAAATAAATATTCTCACCTTTTTGACGTCAACGTGTTTGCCGCGTATCTGATGATTACGCTGCAGACAGATTTTGTCGACAGGATCATAATCATCGAATTCGACAAAGCCGAAGCCGCGTTTCTTGCCAGTCTCTTTGTCAGTCACTATGCTGATCGAGTTTATGCTGCCGTAACTCTGAAAGTACTGCCTGAGGTCTTCCTCTTCATGATCGTCCTTCAAGCCACCTACGAAGAGTTTCTTCACGGTAGCCCCCGCTTCCGGCCGGCCAATTTCTTGCCTAGGGACTGCTCTCTTAGGCTCAACCACTCTACCATCTACTCTGTGAGGCCTGTAAAAGGTATTTGATTTTTGACAATCTTGCCTTCATACTTTCATATGCGAGATGAATAGAAGAATCGACTTATGTGAAGAAAAAAGATTTGTATCAAGTGTTTTTTATTCTTCTCAGTAAATAGATGCTTCTAAAATCTTGAATCTTTTTTTCTAATCCGTGTGAATACACCGGGCCAAGTAAGAACCAGCGCAGTCTTTTTTTTTAATATCTCGAATAAATCATTTTTTTTTACCTGGCGTTCTGAGCATCGTCCACCATGTGAGCACGAGAATAGGTGATGAAGCCAAAACCTCTCGAACGTTTCGTTTTGGGATCTTTCATAACCACCACATCCACTATCTCTCCCCATTGCTCGAAATGCTTCTTAAGCGAATCGTCCGTTGTTCTATAATCCAAGCCGCCAATGAACAGCTTCCTAACGTGTTCCGGCTCGTTTTTACCATCCTGAAGCATAGAACAATAACAATATTGTAAATTAAAGTTTCTTAATCATACAAAGTAATTATATATGATAATATATTGTTTCACACATGATAAATTTTATATATTGAGACTGTAGGTGGATCTTCAAAAAAGCCTTCTACATATCTAGATCTAACTGTATTCTTCTAATCATTGAAGCTAATGACTTCGATTAAGCAATACTTTAGCAAATTGCTGATTTTTATCAATTTATTATATCTCATTGTCTCTCTTTTTTTATTAACGCGAAAATTATTCATAACCAGCCTTTAAACATTTATTACCACATTTATACTCAGAAAACTTGAAATGTAAAAGTTAAAGTCTGGCGATGCAAATGTAGCGGTAATTGGATCAATTTCAGTCTTTTTATATACGAAATTTTCTCGAGTTGAGATTCCAACGCCAAAGTGATTACTCATGATGCAGCAATCGCCGTCTTTTTTTCGTAGTTTCCTTCTTGCTTATTCGGATTCAACCTACCCCGGATTTATCTCTAATCATTTCAGGACAATTTTCCATAAAATTCGGATCGCAAGTACGTCAAGCTTCGCGTCTGAAAGATATTTCGCGAGCTACAACGTACGTCCTCGCGACTTCGTGACGAAAAGCTCTCGACGTAGCCGAAGCTGCCGAAGTGCCATGGAACGGAACAGTGCAAGCGTCGAAGAGAGAAGCCGTAGCCGTCTCGCGATAACGGAATGGCGATATTGGCGGCGCAAATACTCACATCGTGCTCCATCTTCACCATTTTAAGGGACCTGAACAGGATTGCGCGTCCTGTGTAGCTTGTAAAACAGGAGGAAACGTAAGCCGACTTAGCCGACAGCGAACGACGGTAGAAACGACGCTACCACGATACGGACGATCGATTTTCACTCCTTGCGCGCACTCGCGTGAACCCCGGGCTCCGGGCGAGCCGGCCAACCACGTCCACGAACTACGTTAATCAATGCTGGTTGATCGGGGTTGGAGAGGGGAGCGTCCACGTTTTCACCACGTTGCGATTGACCACTCACAGC